CTCCCCCTCGCAGTACATCCACTCCGCCGGGATCATCCACCGGGTAGGTGGCTCTGCAGGGCCGTGCGCGCCGCCCTCCTGGCCCAGCCCGCTAACCCTACCCCTGCATGCAGGACCTGAAGCCCAGCAACCTGGCGGTGAACGAGGACTGCGAGCTCAGGGTGCGCGCTGGGGATGGGCGTAGGGGGGCGGCAGGGCATGGAGGCGGCGTTCCTAGGGGGTGCTGACCACCCGGGTGCCTGCTCTAGATCCTGGACTTCGGGCTGGCACGCCAGGCGGACGAGGAGATGACGGGCTACGTGGCCACGCGCTGGTACCGGGCCCCTGAGATCATGCTCAACTGGATGCACTACAACCAGACAGGTGACGTCAGCCCCTGTGGGGTGACCAGGCAGTGCCCATGCCAGGGCCTGGCGGGGGGTGGGGGGGCAAAGCCAAGGACATTGGGAGCTCCAATCTTGGGGACCCAAGGCCTGGGGCCAGCCTTTGGAAACAGACCTTCAAAGGGTGGAGCATGGTGGGTCTTGGGCTGACCCTCTCCCGCCAGGGTCTGGCTAGAGGAGGAGGGGACCGGGGATGGTGGGGACACTGGCTGGCACAGTCCAGGCAGCCCCCCAGTTCTCAGAGGAAGGACGTGGGTGGACAGGCTGATGGAGACGCCTCCCCCAGCAGTGGACATCTGGTCTGTGGGGTGCATCATGGCCGAGCTGCTCCAAGGAAAGGCCCTCTTCCCGGGAAGTGACTGTATCCTTGGCCCAGGTGGGGGAGGAGGGCTGGCGCCAGGGTCCCTTCCCTTGCGGGGGGGGGTGGGAGTTGAGGGGATGGGTTCAGCCCTTTCTGGCCAGTCTTGCCTCTTCTCCCCCCACGCCGTGCCCCCTGGGCGCACTGTCCCGGGCTGTAGGAGAGCAGGGTCTGGGGTCTGGGGGCCTGAGAAGGGTTCGGGCCTGGCCCGTGGGCATTTCCTGAGCCAGGCAGACATTGACCAGCTGAAGCGCATCATGGAGGTGGTGGGCACGCCCAGCCCTGAGGTGCTGGCAAAGATATCCTCGGAACACGTGAGTCACCAGCCCCAGCTCCTCTGCTGCCCCGGCCCCTGGTGCTGTGGGGGAAGGGCCGTGTGGGGAGCGTGGGCCGCAGTGGAATAGAGCCCAAGGCAGGTGCCGGCCCTTCAGGGGGAGGCAGGTGGTCGGGGATGACATTCCTGGCATGAGGCACAGTGAGGGCGAAGTAGCAGCACCCACCGCAGTGCCCTGGTCTAGGAAGGAGGCGCAGCGCCGGGCCCAGGTCTGTCTGTGCAGGCCTTGCCCTGGCTTGTTGGAGTGAGTGAGTGAGTAAGGGGGCTTAGGGCCAAGGGAGGTCACGGGGGGGGGGCCACCCCCTCAGGCCCTTCCCATGTGCCCCCAGGCCCGGACGTACATCCAGTCCCTGCCTCCCATGCCCCAGAAGGACCTCAGGAGCATCTTCCGTGGCGCCAACCCCCTGGGTGAGGACGGGCCCTGGGTCCGGGCTGGGCACCAGTCTGGCCCTGGATGCGGAGCTGACCCCCACCCCCTCCTTCCCTGGCCGCGCTGCAGCCGTGGACCTCCTGGGAAGGATGCTGGTGCTGGACAGCGACCGGAGGCTCAGTGCGGCCGAGGCCCTGGCCCACGCCTACTTCAGCCAGTACCACGACCCTGAGGACGAGCCCGAGGCCGAGCCGTATGACGAGAGCGCGGAGGAAA